TGTTCACTTTGCCTAATATGTAGCTTGACAGAGTTCTCCATGTGTGTCCTGGTGTTTCCTTACCTCCTCAACCCTCACTCCCTAACTGTCCGTGCTGGATCTGTCCCCGTTGTTTTAAAAAGCTAAATAGGTTATTAGCATGACATCATCCAGCTACCCAAACCTGTCTGGTGTACAGCTAGTACAGAAGCTTCGCATGTACTGCTTCCTTTTCCCGCTAGTCTGCTGTCTGATTGTGAGGTCAGGCTGATCTGATATCAGCTCTTTCACTGCAGTTTATCCGCCAAAGTTCTCCTCTCAAACGAGACCTGGAGGAGTAGTGCTCGCGCTGGCGCTCGCCTGTAGAGAATTCTCCTGACGAGAACGCGCAGCTAGGGGGGCCAAATCGTTTTGGCCCCCCTAGCTGAATCTATTTGAGGGCGCTGATTGGCTAAATTGTATGTCACTCATTTATATCTTTAATCAGCAATTGGCTTCATAGACCCGCCTCTTATGGGCCAAAATGATTTTGCCCCCTAGCTGCGCGTTCTGAGACGTGTCGTGCACACAGGCGGAGAGGACGAGCAGACGAGCACACAGGCGGAGAGGACGAGCAGGAAAAGCATATATTTTGCGCAGATATCATATTTTACACATATTACTGGGTACATTCCATAGTTCAAAAACACAAATATTGACAATTTGTATAATTTATGATGATTATTATAATTTTTTTTTTTTTTGTGTGGCTCAAGGTGGGGCCAGGCCCCATTGCCCTCTATTGGCCAGCCGCCACTGATGATCATATATCATAATATCTAAAATATGTCCACAGCAGTACATTGCTTTGCTTCCATGCTGGTACTCCTGTCTGTTTCTCCTAACTCTAGGTAATACACTGACTATGGTGTAGTACCTCATAGAATCCAAACTATCCCTTTCATGTCAAATTAAAGGGATTATTCCCCTTTCATTTGTGTCTGCATAAACAGCCTTTAATCCTAACCTGTACCTGCATAAACTCATATTTAAACTAGTATAAACTATTGTACCCATCTGTTAGCCTGCTCTAGTCTATCTATCAGTCTTCAGTGCCATGACCTAATTAGGAGTAGCAAAAGCATACGTAATTCTGCTCTTTAACGCGCCACTTCCACTGGCCTATAAATCCACTGAGCAAATCTTAAAGTGCTACATGTTAGCATGTTGCGTTGGGTGATGATGTGGCGTCGAGTGGATGCTGAAAATAGGTCACCCTCAGCAAATTCATGAAGACAGCAGGTGTGGTAGCATTCATTGTCCAAGATTTATTTAACATTGATGAACAGAATGTGATGGGTGAAAGGAATGGAAAAGAAGTTGTGTTTAATGTCTTTGTAGTGACAGGTGTGTGTAGAACAGGGTTATAGTGGGCAATCTCTTGTATCATGGTGTATTAATGTCAAACAGAGAAAAATAACTTTATTTAACACAAGCACCCATGCATTGAAAGCACTCACATGTGCATGTTACTTCAATGTACTTCATGCATTAGTGTGTAGAGACAGATTCAGAGCCTGTGTATAAATAATAAATCCTATTCAAAGTCAAAGTCAGCTTTATTGTCAATTTCTCAATATGTACCGAACATACAGAGGAGTTGAAAAAACGTTTCTCTCCAGTCCAACATAAAAAGTGAATACAGATAATACGGTGCAAAATAGATAGAAAAACATTTAGACAACATATATATTAAGAAAAACTATCATTCTGTATTTAGCAGCAGTCGGACATAGGGAGTCTTAAAGACAGGAGGGAGAGAGTTCACCTTCCTAACAGCCTGGTGGACGAAGCTGTTTGAAAGTCTGGTGGTGCAAGCACGGAGGCTCCGGTATCTTCTCCCAGAGGGCAGGAGGCTAAAGAGACTGTGTGAGGGGTGGCTGGAGTCGTGCACAATCATGGTCACTTTGCGGGTGAGGCGGGTGCCGTATATGTCCTGCAGGGAGGGGAGTGAGGCACCAATGATCCTTCCAGCTGTGTTCACTATGCGCTGCAGGGCTTTCCTGTTGTGGTCAGTGCAGCTTCCGCCCCACACAGTGATGCAGTTTGTCAGGATGCCCTCGGTAAAAAGTGCACATGATGGGTGGTGGTGTTCTTGCCTTCTTCAGTTTGCGGAGAAAGTAGAGGCACCGCTGAGCTTTCTTTGCCAGTGATGTTGTGTTGGCTGTCCATGAGAGGTCCTCACTGATGTCCACCCCCAGGAATTTGGTGCTGCTCACTCTCTCTATATCAGCACCATTGATGGTCAGTGGTGGGTGTTTAGTGTGGCCTCTCTGGAAGTCAACAATAATCTCATTGGTCTTGCTGTTATTCAGAAGGAGGTTGTTGTCTCTGCACCACGTGGTCAGAAGGCTGACCTCCTTCCTATAGTGGGTCTCATCGTCATTGGTAATGAGACCAACCAGACTTGTGTCGTCTGCAAATTTGACGATGTGATTGGTGCTGTAGGTTGTGGTGCAGTCGTGTGTCAGCAAGGTGAAGAGCAGTGGACTGAGCACACAGCCTTGAGGGGCCCCTGTGCTCAGTGTGATGCTGCTCGAGGTGTTGTTGCCGACACGTACTGCTTGTGGCCTCTCACTGAGGAAGTCCAGCAGCCAGTTACACAGCGAGGTGTTGAGCCCCAGCTGGTCAAGTTTGAAGATGAGTTTTTGTGGGATTATGGTGTTGAATGCTGAACTAAAGTCTATGAACAGCATTCTCACATATGAGTCTTTAGTGTCCAGATGGGTAAGGGCTGGGTGGAGAGCAGAGCAGATTGCATCCTCCGTGGACCGTTTGGCACGATATGCAAACTGGAAAGGGTCCAGGGTGGGGGGAAGAATGGATTTGATATGCGAGTAGCCGTTCAAAGCACTTCATGATTATGGGGGTCAGTGCCACCGGACGGTAGTCATTAAAGCAGGACGGAGTGGATTTCTTTGGCACAGGTATGATGATGGTGGCCTTGAAGCATGATGGAACAACAGCTTGTCTCAGAGAAGTATTAAAGACATCTGTGAAGACATCCTTAAGCTCCTCTGCGCAGTCCTTCAACACACGACCAGCCATGGCTTCTGGTTAGCCCGAGTGATGATGGTTTTTATATGGGTCACATCATCAATGCACTTACTAATGTAAGAAGTAACAGTGTCTGTGTACTCCTCAATGTCTGTGTGATTGTTGTATGTGGCTGCCTGCTTAAACATTCCCCAGTCTGTTGTGTCAAAGCAGTCTTTGAGAGCGGAAGGGGCCCCTCTGGCCACACCCATACCTGCTTCAGAACCAGTCTGGAGACTTTCACTCTTGGTCTGTACGCTGGCATTAGCAGGACGGTGATGTGGTCAGAGAGTCCTATGTGGGGTAGGGGTGAGGCCTTGTACGCTCCTTTGTGAGTAGTGTAGACCAGATCCAAAATGTTTTCCCCTCTTGTTGGGAAATCAACATGCTGATGTAGTTTTGGAAGGACAGTCTTAAGGTTAGCGTGATTGAAATCTCCAGCGAGGATGGTGAAGCCGTCTGGGTGAGCTGTCGGTTGTTCACTGATGGCCTGATACAGTTCACAAAGTGCCGCACTTCTGTCACTGTTGTTGGGGGTGGGAGGGATTTAAACAACGACTAGCAGAATCGCTGTAAAGGCACCTTATGATCATAAACTCCGCCAGTGGTGAGCAGTGTTTACATACCACAACAGCGTCCCAACACCATGCATCACGGATGTAAACACATACCCCGCCGCCGTGAGTCTTTCCTCCTGTAACAAGGGCTCTGTCTGCTCGGTAACATGTTAGCTGCTCCAGTTGCACAGCGGAGTCTGGGATGTTGTCAGTTAGCCATGTTTCCGTGAAAAGAAGCACACAGCAGTTACTCACGTCTCGCTGCGCCGTCCTCAGCAGTCGTATGTGATCCATTTTATTGTCCAAGGATCGCACATTAGCCATGATAATGGATGGTATGGCTGGGCGAGTTGGATTAGCCGCTAGCCTAGCTCGGATACCTCCGCGCTTGCCGCTCTTCTGCTTCCTCTCACACCACTTGCGGCGCCTCCTTTCCGGGGGAGGAGTAGCAGTGGAGTTCGGTGTGGTCGCAGGCCGGCGGAGTAATCCGAGCTCCGTGATTGTTTCTGCTTGTGCAGTGTCCAGAGGGTTGTGTAGCTTGGTCCTGCCGATGATTAAAACAAAACACCACATGGTCGTGACAGAGAGGGGTCGCTGCGTCTACACGCGCTGCCATCATGAGTCTTGTTTGGGTCAAACACTTGCTTCCTCCTGTAATGAAGGCGTATTTGCAGTTGGCCCTCTCCAGGGCTAGACTGGCCATCTGGCAGACTGGGTAGGCCGATGTGTCTTTGGGGCCAGCACTGGGCTGGTGATGATGAGAAATGTGTCCGTATCGTCCCGCCCCCACATTCTCTATTTGAATGTGTGTGTGTGCTCAGCTGAGAGAATGTGTCCTCACACATAGATAGAGAGTGGAGAGTCTTGAGAGTTTGACAAATATTAGCAAAATAATTGATGATTGAAACACATTAACAACTGCATTGATTGCACAGACAGGAGACATCCTCATTAGAGGGGCTACTTCAGAAAACTCTGGTGGCAGCATCTTGACGATTATGATGCATTGTTTATCTACACCACACAGAAGTATGGGCTAAATGAATGGATGTATGGATGAACGGATATATATATATATATATATATATTTTTTTTTTTTTAATGCGGATTCGCGGGCCACATAAAATTACATTTTTTGTACCAGGATGTACACTGACTACACATGTTTATTTTTGCTGTAAAGTTGGGCATTTTAACATGGAGGTCTATGGGGATTGACTCTCTTCAGAGTCAGCCTCAGTTGGCCATTTGAGGAACAGCATTTTTTGGCACTTCTGTATTGGTTTCATTTTTCAGCACCAGAGGTTGCTGCTTGGATAAAATTAGAGTTGAAACTCTAATTTGCTTAAATAAATTGGTAATTTAGTTTACAGATAGGAGCTGTATTACCTTTGAACTTGTGGAAGACAGCCCAGAGTTCAGCGATGTCAGTGGCAAATGTGATGTCTGTGTCCAGGACGATGACTCTCTGCAGGACGGACGGCAGCGTCTTAGTTAGCACCAGCTTCATCAGGCCGTAGATTCCAGAGTAATGTTTGTTGGGGATCCATGACACCTCAGACTGAGAAAACCCCACAAATACAGGGTTTGGATAATTTGCTTTCAAATGTATTGAATTTAAAAAATGTGTAATATTTTTTCTGTATGCAACAGCTTCCTTAAAATACGGTAAACAGAGCTAACAAGAATCAAAGAAGGGGGCAGTCAGATCATTAAGCACTACAGGATAGCAAGTGAAGTTGAATGCATGTCTGAGTATTTCTGAGGGAAGCTGGGAGTTCGTGAGGTGAAGAGGAGTCGTGTTCTTCACCTTTAGCTCATCTGCATCGTAGAAGTCGACCTTGACTGCAGGGACCATCCAGGTATGGAACAGAGAGGACAGGATCTGCTGAGCAATGGAGTCTGTGATGAAATGGAAATGTAGTGGATTCCGTCTGTGGACAGACACAAACAGAAACAAACATGAATAAGCTCAATGCTCTTTCACAGCACCATCCTGGTTGAAATTGAATAAACTTAAACAACTTCACACAAGGAGTTCTTCAATACAACTACACTAAAAGAGCCATTCTGTCTAATCCATAACATGTTGTGTGAAGTAGGGCTGAACAATGTCTGGAATAACTGGAAAGGAAAAGAAAATAGGAGAAACATGCAGGGACTGTAGTAACAAATTTGGCCTTTTTGCTAAATATTATTGATGCTAATCAACGTGTTAAGTCACTGTTAAATAATAGACTAAAGTAAAGTAACTCTTCTCAAACTAGTAATTACCATGCAGTTGTCAAAATAAGGATATCTATCTAACTTTATTTTGCTTTACTAAACATTACCTAAACACATACTCATACATACAGATTAACTCAGAATTGATTTATTCATGAATTTACTGAGACTTTAAAATAGGTAGACAGGAAACAAGGGACAAGTGGGGGTATAGTGTGCATGACAGGGTCTTGGCTGGAATAGAACTGTTGACTATGCAGTATGTCACTTAAAGGATACGTCTGGTGATATTCTATATGAAAGTGTTCCTCAGTGCCGTAATGCTCCGTTGTTCCAAAAACTGTAGTTTATCTTGACTCAATCCCACATACACTGTCCTGCTGCCACCAAATGTAGATTAATCCACTCCTAAAGATAGTCCCCAACAAATGCATTATTTCCTCCTGCCCGAGTAACCTTTGCTAAAAACTACAGTGACCAGCTGTTTTAGGAAATGACTGAGCCTTTTAAAAAATGAAACTATACATTTGTGCTTGGAGTTGGAAGTCTCAGACTGCTAGGGAATTCAGAAAGTATACAGAGATGGACTAACATATTGTTGGTTTTGGTGTCACCGTTGAATTCCAGCCTTTTCCTTTTTACTGCAGATATTTAAAATGGAACTTTGCTAAAATTAGTAGACTTTCAAGAGACGGATAAACCCAAATTGTCAAAACCCAAATTAGATATGACGACTTAACAACTTAACCTGCATTTATCCCGAAGGCTGTGCCTGCAGTGGATGGATGGGTGTGAATGTTTAGTATTTAGTCCTGTTGGGCAGGCGGAACGTTGCCAACAGTGTATGAGTGAGTGAATGAAATGTAGTGTTAAGGACCTTTGAGTGGACTAAAGACTAGAAAAGTGCTAGTCCATTTACCCTTTATTCAAGTTGTGAAAATTATATTGACACAAGCCCAGCCTTTACTTTTAAAATTGGTGATGTCCCTTTAAGATACCAAGTATGATGGCCACACACATATTCAGGTGTTTCAAGAAGCAACACATTCTCAATTAATGTCAGATGCTTATGGTATTTTCACAGGACCTTTAAGACTAAATGCTAACCCCACATCTACAGTTTCATCTGGATACAAAGACCATGTCATATGATTCAATGGTAAATGGACTGTACTTGTTTAGTGACTTTCTAGTCTTCCGACAACTCAAAGCTCTTTAATGCTACATGTCATCATTCACCCATTCACACCCATTCATACACTGATGACAGGGGCTACCATGCAAGGTGCCACCTGGTAACTAACATTCATACCCATTCACACACTGGAGGCACTGCTGGGGTTAAGTGTCTTGCCCTAGGACACAACGACATGGACTAGCGGAGCCGGGGATCGAACTCGATTCCTCTGATTGAAGGACGACCCTGCTCTACCACTCTTACAGATTGAAAGCTCCAGAACAAGCAAGTAAGGGGAGTAAACATTGTTTGGACAACTTTGACTATATAGTTCAGGAATTAGTGTTTGCAGGCAGCCCTGAGGCTGGTAAAGCAGACGGGGCACATTGATTCATCAGACATGACGCCCAAAGCTTCATCCAAATAAAGATGACACACTCCGTGTTACAGCTCACACACATAGAAGACAGGGTGTGTGCCAAATAGGTATTCATTACTTCCAAATAGTGACACTGAGTTGAGGATGTGAGCACCCTTGGGTGTATTGTGCTGAATGACTTTGGGAATGAATGTGTCAGCTGCACTTGCTCAATAAGTACGGTGGGCTGGGAGCTGTCAAAATGTATCGGAACTCTGGTTGCACACAAGCTGTTAGCAGCAGCAGTGCAAACAGAAAGGGTCTTCACATCCTCCGGACAAACAGCAACTAGCCTTTCACTGGATGCTTGGGATCATGCTGATAAGAAAGCAAATATGTCACGAACATCCTGATCATCAGTGCTGTGCCTATGATAATCTAATCATGTAATCTTCATCATGCAACATAGTTATCTTGTTCCAGTAGACTTTCAGAGTGCACACAGATGCAGATACATTGAGCTCTCTTCTGCTCAGAGAGGAGTGAAGGATTGTTCTGAACCTGAGCGTTCACCTCCATGTAAAGAGGAAGTCACTTCTGTTTCTCTCTCTGTATATAAAGCAGAGGGTCTGCACCTGGGGGCCCCTAAACCCTTGGGCCCCTGGACCTGTGCCGGGTTGGCCCATTGATTAATCCATCCATGTTCCACAACCCAACTAAAAGGTTTGAAGAACACCCTTCTGTAATTCTGCACCTAACCACTTCAGTTATGTGTGGCTCCATCTTTTCCCTAGAAACCAAACCATAGTTGCTCAAGGTTGTCTGAAACCTAGGGGCAGAGGACTTGGCTTGGGAATCACGGACCAAGTATTGAGTGATGACTGGTGGCTGAAGTGTGCCAGTTTGCCTCCCACTACACACGGGTACAACACGCCATCGCTGACTACAGAGGCATCATTAACAAACAGATATGATTGGGATCTGGTGGTTTTTTGCAGGTGTTGTTGAAAAGTACCCTCCTTCCATCTAGTGTCTCCACTTCTTGTTTTTGTGTTTAAAAGGGACAGAGTGTAACATTTAGGGGAATTAATTGGCAGAAAAGGAATATCATATTCATAACTATGTTTCAATCAATGTATAATCACCTGGAAGAAGTAGTGCTCCTTGGCTTAGAAAAAGTCATTTATATCTACAAGGAGCGGGCCGTCTTCACAGAGTCCACCATCTTGCACCTCCATGTTTCTACAGCAGCCAGAACGGACACTGGCTCTAGAGGGAGCCTTTCTCCTTTGATGTTATCTGAAGGTAGGTATGCATTCTGAAACCCGGTGTTAAACGGCCCCGCTGCTAAATAATGAAAGATTGTAGTGTTGATAAGCCCCGACGTTACTGCTGCTTTTTATTAGTACTTTTCAATGTTTTGTCATTTATTATCACGCTGCAGCCAACATCACTGCTCTCTCTGTCAGGCTGAGCTCCTCCAACTACACACACACACACACACACACACACACACACACATATAGACACAAACAAGGGGCGACCAGAGAGGCCGCTGTGGTCAAGTGAACCTGGTGAAGTTACCTGAGTTGACGGCAACTACGTTCCTTACCTGTGTTTCCCCTACCCTTATATTAGGGGGGCACCCAACCCCCTCAACGGCTGCCAATGGTTAAAGGTAATTTAAGGTTCCCTTTCCTATAGAACAGGTCTATACCGTGTTCTGTTATTAAACAAACTAAACAGTCTTATGTTATTTATCTTATTTACACGACTGCATGTCATTTCTGTCTCTACATGGTCGCACGTGTACAATTCTCCTCTGCTCTCTGTATCGCGCACGGCAAAGTTCCGCCCCGATGCGCGCTCACACACACACACACACACACACACACACACACACACAGGTGAGCACGCTCCCACCAGCGGACAGAGAGCGCGAGTCGGAAAATATGTCGCGTCAACCACCTGAAAAGCAGACAACAATATCCCATGTGGTGAAGATGCAACACTCGCTCTCCTGCGAGTAGCTCCAGGTCCAAGTACAGACAAGAGCCCGAGTGCTGCATCACAGAATAGCCTGTCAGCGCCAGTCAAGTTTGACAGCAGGTAAAAATGGTTTATTCTATTATGATTTGATCAATAACATGTTTGGCTCTTCAATGCTGATGATGCATGTCATTTCAGGCAACACTGTCCTTGCATCATTTGAGCCCACAGTTATCCTGGAGCATGAGGCTGTGGTGGGGGCATTCAAGTGCTTGTACTGGCTAATAAAGCATGAAATAGCCCACCACACCAACTATCCAGCCTTGCTGCAACTAGCTAATCTTGTGGGCTGCACCTATTTTGACAAGCTCAATGTAATCTTCTTTTGTAATGGTTTACCATATTTTTTGTTTTGTCTTATGTGATCGCTATATTGACAATGAATTGGATTTTTCTTGCATAAAACGAGTTAAAGAATTCATATAATGCATTCCTCCGCGAATTGCCACCTTATCGTGGTGGAGGAGTTTGAGTGGCTCAGTGATCCTGGGAGCTATGTTGTCTGGGGCATTAGTCCCTGGTAGGGTCTCCCAAGGCAAACAGGTTTCAGGGGAGAGCCCAGACTAAGAGCAGTTCAAAACGACCCCTATCATAGTTAGCCCACGGACTTTAGCCACCTCGCCCGGACCAGGGAAACCGGGGCACCCTCCCGGAGCCAGACCCAGGAGGGGAGCTCGTAGGCAAGCGTCTGGTGGCAGGGCCTTTGCCCATGGGGCCCGGTCGGGCTCAGCCCGAATAAACACCATGGAGCAGCCACCCTGTGGACCCACCACCCGCAGGGACAAACATCGGGGTCGGGTGCTATGCAGACCGGGCGGCGGGTCGGGTGGGAGGCCTGGGCATGCCGATCGCCGGCGGCATAGACTAGCTCTAGGGACGTGGAACGTCACCTCGCTAGCGGAGAAAGAGCCGGAGCTGGTGCAGGAGGTGGAGCGATACCAGCTAGAAATAGTTGGACTCACCTCCACACACTCTTGGAACCAAGCTCCTGGAGAGGGGTTGGACTTTGTCCTTTTCCGGAGTTGCCCAGGGTGAGAGGCGCCGGGCGGGAGTGGGGATACTCACGAGCCCCCGGCTGAGCGCCGCTGTGTTGAAGTTCTCCCCGGAGAACGAGAGGGTCGCCT